ATATCCAGTAAAGTATTTAAAATGCACAGTAACTAACATTGTATACCTTACAATAAAACATTAAGCACAATTGTCCCAATACCCCATACAACATAGCTAAACAATTATATATTTATAAAATTTAGATAAGATTCAGACCCTCTTAGAAAAAAACCTAGAATAAAGAGCACCCTGAGCTAGGGAGGCTTCTAGTCACTTGGAGTCACATAAATTCTAAAGATGCCAAAAGCTACTAGATGGATGATGACGAGGAGGATAATGACTTAACATCACTTCCCAGAAACCCTCCTGCATCTGTGTATCCAAAGATCATCTCACACCCTGATCTTCCAGTTGACCAATGTAAGCAACACGCTAGAATATGTTTGCCTTGTTTGTGAACCAACACCTTGTCTCCTTTTCCCTTATGACAAGGCCCAAGGATACAGGTAGACTATGCATGAGTCTTTTGCTAAATCAGAGTCATGATAAAAGCAGGAGTGTGTGTCTACAGCGCTCACAATTCCTCTGCTGATCTGTCTACAAACTGTTGTGTTTCTGAGCAGTACATCTCTCTTTCAGTGTGTGGATCTTAGCTTTAATGAAAGGATTCATCATCTTCTTTTAATACACACATTTAAAAATGAAGGGTGGAAGAAAGGAAAGGCAAACACTTTTACATTCCAAGGCAAGGGAGCTCACATTCAGTTCTTTTTCCTACCTGAGAAGACCAGCACCTTCCTTATTCTTTCCTGCTGAAGAGCCTGAAATACTACGGTATACTGTATTTAAGTACTTGCCACCACTGTTGAAGTCATTGGTTTATAAGTAGGCAATAATTAACACCTGATTTGATAGCCCACTAATTACAGAACCACCTGAAATTTTTAACCGTGAGCTTTGGAGGCTATTTCCATGAATTTTCCTGCATTTTACTTTAAGCAATCATTGCATTAAAGTCATGGATGGATCTGAAAACAGAGATGGAATGCAGGTCCCTCCTTCCCTCAATGGGGGCTTTAAATTGAGAGAATGGCTCCAGTTTTGTGCCTCCACAAAACAGTAATGTTGACACCCATATGTAAAGAAATCCTTGTGGCTGGATCTGGGGCAACTTGAGCTAAAATTGTGTAGAATCTGGGGAGCTTAGGCAATCTTGACATTAGGAGTCAGCTCAGCAGAGGCTCTCAGAAAGGCAAGTTTGGTCTTAAGCTTCTAACGGTTGCCTGCATCTCTTGTTGGACCTGGTCCAGAGTTCTGTCAAGGAAACTCGTACAGGCTTGGCTGCAGCTTTTATTTGAAGACAAATCCTGAGAGAGACCTCTAGTTCTTAAGTAAGTTCTAACCTTTTCCTGTGTAAGCAAACGTGCTTCATTCTTAAATGTGTTTCTATACATACAGTGTGTGAATCTCCTACTGCAGAGTATTAATGTCAACAAAAGGTTAATAAAAAATAAGGTTTCCAGGCCTTTTTTCATGCTTGTCTGCTCCCACCTGATTTGTTTTATTACTGAAGCTGATGGTTTTCAATAGCACTTAGAGCAGCAGCAGTGGAGTTTAACTCTCACTTCTTATTGAAAAAGCCAAATCAAGAGCTGAGTAATGTCTGTTACTTATCTGTTCTTTTTAAAATAAAAAGTGAAAGTTAAAGGCTGACAGGGTCATGGGTAAGTGTTATTGAAAGTCACAGCCAGCAAGCAGTTTGCAGCTGGAAGAAAAAACTTCTTTCCCTTTTTCTGTAGTCAGTCATGGTATTGCTGTTCTTCAGTGATTTTCCTTTCCTTCCCATGCCCTTTAACCAGCGCTGATGGTCTGTCTTGAAATAACGTTCACCTCTCTTATTTTTAGATAAAAGGTAGCGTGATCCAAGGTTTGTAGTTAGACCAAATAATTCTGCCATCCAGATTTTAAACCTCATATTCCTACTGAAACACCATGCCACTGATTTTTAAATTCCCTTCACACTTTAAATTCCCAGCATTAGAACAAGTAATAACGGATAACAATTCTATGGTAATTTGAGATCTATAAAGAGAATGGATTAATATTATTTTTTCAAGGCATATACCGGTATTGCATTCCGTAGGGAAGCCAGAAAACAAGCTGTGTAGAACATTTGGGAATTCAGAGATCATTAAAAAAAATGCAACCTGCTTTAGAATAGAGAAAATATGCCAAATATAAACCGTGAAAGAACAGATCTGATGAAGATGCCTTCCCTCACTCTTACCGTTAGTGTTGTGTTAATGCTAACACACCTAAACACCACACAGGATATTCACAGATGAAATAAAGAAATCGTAGATTTCATAAGAAAAGAGAAAGAGAGAGAGAGGAAGAGAGAGATATCCAAATACTAAGAAGATATGGACATTTCTCTTTTAGCAAATCTGAATGTTTAGGAAAACACGATTCAAATTATTTACTGTGAGAGTAGGTGAATTTTCAGGGACTACATAAAACATTTTTATCTCATTTTGATTTTTAGCTAACGTCCCAAGGTCATAAATGAAAAATCTCTCTGTGAACTGAGCATTGTAGGAGATCCTAAATTTTAGACCTGTACAGGGCTTTTGCAAACCAGTACTGGATTGGTAAACACCAGTTCGCCACCTCCAATGCATTATATGGAATTACATATTTCAAGAAAAACTTATATGGCAAAAAATTTAAGTCCATAATGAAATGTATGGTCAAAATGAAATATAACCTCCAAATAGCAATAACCTCCAACTAATAGCAATGTCTCCTATCCAGTCAGTTAAGACACTTTCATGATATGAGTGAGACCAAGTTTCAGAAGACATGGACATCAAAGTGGTTTTCCCTTATTCCAGGAAACTCACAGACAAATAGCAATATGGTAAAGGCCAAATTGTACTCTGAAATCTGTTTTTTCTGAAAGAAGTATTAAAAGAACTTGTTTTCATTGTGCTGTAGAAAATGACATTACTTTTTTTTGTAATCTCAGAAGTTTTCTGATAATCAATAAAACACTTCCCACCTTTCTTCCCCATGTTTATGTCATTGTTAAAACAGAGTTTGTCTTCGATCATTTCTTTTTCCACAGAATGAGCCTGACAATATTGGAATATGCAAACTCCCTAGTACTGGCACAACAGGAAAATGGAATATTGATATTTTATTCGCAATTGTTTTCACATCATCAGTTACATGTGTTTAGCATCCTTCTCTTTTTTAAAAGAACCATGCTGTTTCCTTCACAACTTTCTGCTTAACAAGGTTGCAAAGCATAATGTTACAGTTTGTTACTCTCCTGACTGATAGAACCGCCAAAAAGCCATTCTCTCTTTCTTAAGATTCATTGGAGTGTCAGTCTTTATCCTCAGTTGTTCCTCTTTTCCATTTACATCACAAAATGAAATGATATTTACAGAAGAGAAATTATTGTTCACATTACAATTTAATTAATGTTGAATTAACAAGTAATTTTATTAATAAGCTTTGAATCAACATGTTTGTTGTGCCCTGCTGGAAATCTTCTAGAATTGATTAAAGCAAGCTAACGGATTAAGCTGGTGATTTATTGACAGGAAGAATGTCACCTTTATCTACAGGCAGGGATGTTTGTCTCAGCTGGAGAGTTCCCAGTGCATTTCGCCTCTCTCTTCCCCATTACCTTTCTGCTCATTTCCCCCATTTTCAGACAAACAAAAAAAAAAGTCATATTAATATTAATAAAATATTAAATTTGGCGGTTATTTGGAGTAACTGTATGAGTGAGACCTGCATCTATCTACAGGATCACACTGTGTCGTGGGCTGGTGGAAACAAAATTTAAAAGAAACAAGAAACCAATTGAGCAGCAAAAAACCCCCAACATAATAGAAAAGACCTTTTAAAATATTTGTTATTCTCTTTTCTGCAATGAGCTGCTCAAAAGCCAGAGGTACAAATGGGAAGTTTATTCAACCAGAAAACTTGACACAGAATAAGTTGATGCCATCTGGCTTTATTCAGCTAATACACATTACAATGTTTTATATCGCTCTGGTGGACCATTGCTCCTGAAAGATGTACTTTAATAATATGTGTTGGTACATCACTTAATACGCAGCAGTGGTGATGCATCAAAATGCAAATCAGTCAAGAAGAATTTTAATAACAGCACAGAGGAAAGTGATTACAAGCTCCTATGAATCACAGCACTGGGTATCTTACATGTGGTATTTTTTACAATAATCGGTTTGACTGCACTTTGCATTGGGCAAGCTGATTTCCCATAGGCTGTGTTTCAAGGCAATATCCAATATAACCTGCACAAAAAGAAAACAGCTATGAAGGTCATTTCAAGCAGAGTAGGGAGAACTTGCAAAAATCTGCCAGCTGAGCAAGCTGACGTCTCCTCGTAATTCATAAAATTAACCTTCCTCAGTTTATGAGGCTAGCTTTCTTAAAGCTTAAAATTTTCCTGTAGTGAGGGATGAACAAATAGTCTTTACACATGAAAACATATTTTCACATTTTCTCCATTCAAAAAAGTTCTTGCTACAACCAAAACACTGAAAATATATATAGACAGGACTTAAAAATGTCCTTCCTCCGCTCATTTTTCAGTCACAAATTTACTTGAAATCCAGATTTCATGGCTATTTTTAAAGGAAAGCACATATGGGAGTGTCCAAAGAGTCTAGCTAAATTTCCTAAATGCTATCTTTTCTACCAATTCCCAATAATCACCACGATTGTGGTGCAAACAAAAGACATAAATAATTATGGACCTCTCATACTATAATTAACAGGATGTTATTTGTGCTCTTCTTTAATAAGAACAGGACCAGACGCATTACTTGAGGCAACAATCTATTTGCAACAACCAGATCTATACAGCAGGAACAGCTCTCCACAGAGCGTCACGCCTTAAAAATTAGATTCTTATTTAAGCTATATCACTGTAGAGGTGGTCAAGCAAAGTCATCGATTTCACAAAGGTTTCCTATGAATAATCCTGGAACTTGATCTACTCCTACTCTGCGATGGCATCAAACTTACCTTTTTAAGAGGCATTTTTTTAACTTTATGTGAAATATCTGATTTCTGAAATCCAGAGATCCTTCAGAGGGGCACCAGCCAGCGTCCTGAAATGATATTAGCTCTGAGGCCTGCAATCAAGAGATGCTCATGAACGTAACACACGAGTAGTGATAAAATATGACAGCAGGAAAGAAGGATTCCAAATGGTTTCACACTTCCCGTCTTTACTATTATGCTTTGGAAACAAGACTACAACAGTTTTCTCCTCAGAGAATGTTTAAAGCGCTCAGTCAGGAAAATCAGATGGACAAGCAGACTCTCACTCCAGGGAGCTGTAACAATGAATTACTTCTGAAATCTTTTGACAGATAGAAAAATGTAGGCCTGTGCTGTGTTTTAGGCCACTGAGTCCTCTACACGGTTCATTTCTGCAATGAAGGGTGTGAAGTGTTTGACCCTTGCTGTGTGTAAATCCAAACTATGCAGCGATGGCAATAGTCACCACCCACTGATCATCCAAGTTAATTGTCCCTTTTCCACAATGACACCATTTGCAATAACTCACCTTCAAAGGATGCATCCAGGACTTTAACAAATGCACTAACCTCATCGCAGACTGTCTTTGATGTAGTCGACTCAATACGGAGTTTTGTCCGTGAGTTTTATGAAGGCTGCTTATTCAGTGCACTTGAAAATAGGAAAAGAAAAAAATAAAAGGAAAAGTATAAAAGGAACAGGGAATAGAAAGGGGAATGGAAAAGGGCACGGAAGTGGAAAAGGAAAAGGAAGAAAACTTTCTTCTGATTGTTTCATAATTCTCAGAGTAAAATATGAAATTCTAACGAATGCTGCTTCTGATCTATGACCTAAAAGAAATGTCAGCAATTATGATATTTAAAAGTAATTTATATTGAAATCCTTAGTCATTCACTCTCCTGGACTTTCTGAAATAAATCTACATTGCTCTCTGCATTCCTGTTTACACCATAAAGAGTTTTGGTTTTCCTGACAATCAGGACTGAGAATTCATTTGCTTAGACTGTGTGGAAATGAATGGTTTGTACTTTATGCAAACTTCAGGGGGAAAAAAGTTACACTTCAGTAAATTAAGTTTAAAATACTTTAACTTCAGCTGTAGAAGCACAAGGCTGTCCAAGCTTGCAAAGAAATGGTAAGTTACATTACAGCTTGCTTACTCCCTTGGACTTCAGGGCACATTTATTCATTTCCCTCACAGTTTTTGCCTACACTGAAACAAAAATGCATACAGTATGTCAGGGGTGCTTTATTCAACAGTTTTCTGCATTGGACTGACAGTCCTGAACCCCTAAGGTGACTTCTGCTCGACATGGCAGGGCCTTGTCCACGTGCTACATCTCATACTTGTAGCACTGATCAAGCAGCGGTCACAAAAAAGGGAGAACACACCAAGTAGGAAGAGAATGGAAGCGTGTGCAGAAGTGTAGGGTCATCCCATTCTTCTGGTCAGACACAATGCCCTTAATTTGACTTTTAATGGACGTATCTCAATAAAAGTAGAAATGCTGGTGCTTACTACATTCCTCACCTTTTCTATGAAATGTGTTTCCATTTTCATCACCTTTAAAACCCACTGATAAGGTTTAGCACATAAGGTTTGGGGTGGTGGAAGAGACAGCAGTATGGTCAATTCCTTGCTTTCTAGCTAGCTACTCAAAATACTTGAGTTCTTCCTGAGCAATCACGTCATGTGAGAACACACAAACTGAAATAATGGAAGTGTTTACTCAGATAGTTTAACAGGAGTCAGCATCATTCTTGTCCTTAAGGTTATATGAATTAAAGGCACATTCCAAACCTACAACTGTGGTGAAAGACATCGGAAAACTGAGAAATCTATGACTGTAAAAGCTGGTGCTGTGGCAAAACATGGGGTTTATGCATGGCACTAAAATAGTTCAGCACTTTTTTTTAACTTTCCAAAGAATAAGCTGTATTCTATTTTTTTTCGCTGTAGTTGCATATACATCTGCTTGAAACATATTTTCCAAGTGTCTCCTGAAAAAAGACATTCTATAGAGTGATTTAAATTTGATCATGCAGCTAGACCCAAAAAAACTTGCAAATTTTCCTGATTACAAGTACTTTCATAATTTTTTTTTTACCAACACAGTATTTTGAAATAAAAAAGTCCTTTGTGCCTTTATGGATTTCTAAAAAAAAAAAATAATAATTGGATGTGAGACAGACACATCAGCAAAGAACAGCAATATGTGACAATTACTGAGCTAATACACAACAGTTTTACGTTGCTAATTAAAACTAGAATAATGCAATAATTAAATTAAGGTCTCAATTAAGATTGAATCAATATACCAATAGATTGAATGATTAAATCACTAAATTCATACAACAAGTAATCAGATCAAATTAACAGATTGACAACACAATGAATTATTGTGCATTGGTCTTTTCTGTGAAGATTTTAAGGAGAACATACCTTCTCAATTAATATCAGATTGGTTTTTTTCCCCCAGAAGCTGAAAAAAAAAAAAAAAAAGATTGGAGAGGGTGATTTACAGGAGTTGTTGCCAAGAAAATGTTCTCAACCACTTGGCTGGGGTACGAGCTATCAGAACCACAGTCAGCAAAACCACTCTTTTATAAGTTATCTGGTGACCAAATGGACACAGTTTTTTTCCATACTTGCACTGTTAAAGGCAATTACCTCACTTCTTTCAGCATTTTAAAAATATCCTGGACTTTTGAATGTCAAAGAATTGGAGAATCAATATGAGCTCATAAGTCATTCTAACGTCTGTTGACAAAATATGAGCTGCTTTTACATTTATCAGAATTCTACTCATAATTAAGCAATTCTCCCAGTTGTAGTCAAATTTCTGCTGAAATTCTTCACATGATTAAGTACCTTAGTTATTCAAATGTTGCATCTTTTGTTAATTCCAGGCAAATATTCCCAGGAGTCCCTGTTTGTGGTAAAAAACCAGTTGTTTAGTTTTCTAATTCAGAGACATTGTTTATTTCAAAGCACTTCCTCTTCAAGTAGTTATTTTCTTCAGTTAAATCATGAGATGAGAAACCCTGCTGCTCTCACTGCCTGAAGGTCAAAGGGTTGTGTGGGAGAGAATTTACCATGGAAGAAACAATCCAGCTTTACCTGGGTGACAGCAATTATGCAGAACAACAAAAGGAGAAGTTAAGTTACAAGATGAGAACTCTAATACATTCTCCCCAGGGTCTGCCACTCACTCAGCCATGAGAAAAACAATGCCAGACTTCATTTTAGCAGTTACGTCTCTATAATGCTGAGATAGTAAAGCCCATCGTATACACAGCAAACTTTGTTGTTTTACTTCCCGGGTGTCTGCTCTTCAGGTTGCCTCCTCGTAGGTTGTCATTCCTAAGAAGAAAACAAAGAACAGAAGTAGCCTAATCAATTTTTAATTTAAGAGTCCACATGAATAGATAGTGAAGTCATAACTTTCTCCAAAAGGCCAAACCTGGGCACGCCTTTAACCTGCAGTGAAAGAGAAATGTGGGAAAACGTATGGAACCACATTCACAGTATATTACTATCCAAATCAAGAAACAGAAGTGTCACTGGGGAGAGGATTGTGGAGGGCATGGACTCTTCAACCCTCGCAATAGGAGAGGTGCAGCAGGGGGGACAACACGTTGTCTTGATTTGTGCTGGCGCTTCAGGAGGAAATACTTGGGAGAGGTACTCACCCACACACACTCCCCGCAGTCGTTTCCAGTAAGTCCTGAGTGCAACTGAAAAGTGAAGGACAAATGAAAAATAAATGTACCTTTACCTCTTGCATGTTGTGTATGAAAGATATCCAAAGGTGGAATTTATTTATTTTCTCTAGGTGGTTGGTTGAATAATTTTTCCACTCAGGCATTTTTGATCATTTAAAATGTAGGTAACTTTTGCCATATATCCCAAGTCACACACACACATACTCCCCGAGTGTATTTTAAACAGTCTAGAAATATTAGTTAATATCACATATAAGAATGTTAACAATCATTGTCATTATTTTCAAGCTTGAAAAAACGAGGCTTAGAAAGATCAAGATGTTGCCCACAAAATGTGCCGCTTCCATGAAATAAACTTCAGTGGCCCATGAAAGAAGCTGAAGCGTTCTGATGCCTAATCTTGTCTCTAAACAACAACAAAAGCCCAATCATTATCTGAAGATCACATTACACAATTACTCAGACAATTACTTCATCCCTTTATTAACAATTATTGACTGAACCGCAGACTAAAGACAATGGGTAATCTAAGAAAAAGAACTTCCAGTCTGTCATTTATGTGACAGGTAAACACTAGTTTATTTTTTTAATGCAATGATTAAAATAAATGTTTCAATTGTCAAATAAACAAGAATATGAAAATATGGATATAAATCCCCTATCATAGCATGTATTTAGATAGATAGTTAATCATCTAGAGAAGTCTTCTATAAAATACACCTCTGTCAAAAACATTTTTCTTTGTAAGTGATTAAATAATAATGGATAACATTAATAATACTTCAAATCAATTGAGATCACCTTTCTTTAACACAAAGCTTTTTTTACACACATTAATATGTATAGAAATATACACATTAGTATTTTAGTACCAGAGGACTTTCAAAGGGTTAATATTCTGGAACTGAGCAATTTTATTATTTTAGTGTAGTTTGGTCGGGCCTTTTTAATTCAATGGGTAAATGTTTATATTTATTATATGGATAGAAAAATGGTGTACTGCAAATACTATATTTTGACCCAAATACTATTAATGTTTGACTAATTAATTGTGTAAATGGAAAACACATTTTTTTCGAAAGAACATTTGCTCTGTCCTGTTAGAAGTCATAAGTCAAATGCAGCCCAGTGGCATTAAAATGTGGCCTTATTTGAGATCTGATCAAAAGACAACGAAGACTTCGGTTGGCTTCCCCCAAATTTAGCAGGAAGCTCTTGGAAAAGCACATGCTTCCTCTAATTATGTTGTATGGAAAAAAAACCTCTCCTATAACATCTTATGTCTTAGTTAAATTTCTATCATTGCTAAACTTTGCTCTCTTATCTTGTAACATCATGCTTACCTTTACAAAACTAAGAAATATTTTTATTTTATAGTAATTATTCTTCCTGGTTCCACTTCTTAATTTCAGCAAATAGAACAGCATATTTTATGTGGATTTACTTTTCTCTGCTTTCCTTTTCTCTTCTGCTCCTTAGGTGGTTAAATATGGAGATTGAAAACTTTTCATGCTTTCATTCTCATCTAGACTCTTCTTCTAATGACATTTGCACCTGTGTCATGAGCCATTAGAGAAATCCTGACCCCAAACATCAATAATCTGAAAGGCAAGCAGAAAACACCTGAGGTAAAGCCACATTCTTAGCTTTCATTAGAAACATGTTTAGACCTTCCAGTGAGTGCTTCAGAGGGAACAAAAAAGGGTTCTCTCAGTGTTTTGAAATACACATTGCATTTAAGAAACACATTTATGCATGTGTTGTATGTAGATATATATGTCCGCATTTGAATTATGTTATATATATATATTTAGGTATTATAATCCATATTAAAAATTACTAGTCACCAAATACCCTGAGGGATTTACCAGCACCTGGCTGTAGCACTGTAATATTATTCATCTCCTGACATCAAGGGGCATCCTCAAGTCCAAGGCTGCTGGTGGAGCAAGATACACTCAAGAGCACAGAAAGTGGTTTTAGTAGCTGCTAATACTGGAAATGAGTTAACTTGTCACTACCAAGCTAATTTGGTGTCTCCAAGAGTGGGATAAGTGAGCTGGGGCTCAAACTGTGTCATTAAGATGCTTAAGTTATCTATGAGGGTTTTAGCCATGTGCACGGTACAAATGTGCTTTCTGGAACCCATATGGTTCTGGTAAACACACCACCACAATGAAGTTACTGGGCTTTTTCTGCAACAGCTGCACTGCATTGCTAATCTTTCTCCCACTTTACCCTCTGAGCAGTGTAAAACAATGGGTCATTTCTTCAGCAGATGTAAACTGATGTTTACCATTGATTTAATGAACACAGAGCAAAGCAGTGGAACCAAACACTGTATGCCCTATTTTTTTAAATCATCTTGCTACAAAAACAGTCTCCTCATTCCAGCCTCAACAAAGAAATTGTAGTATTTTCTTCAAAGTTATTCTGTTCCACTGAGCAAAATGGACAAATGTTATAGCTCAGAAGCAATCTCTCAAGGTTTCTCATGTCTGGGAGAAAACTATTGTCCTTTGGAAAAAAATATTTTTCAACAGCTGTTTTCTCAAAGGTCTAAGTTTATAGGAAAATTTTTATTATCGACTGTAAGGATCCAATCTAGGATACCCATCCCTCTGTTGTCCCTGCACATTTAATAGACCAGGAGAGATATTTTTTCAGGGGGCAAGTAATTTCTAAACTGAACTGCTGTTCTGAACCATCCTCTGGAAAGCCTGTAAATGCACAAATATTTCTGGTCCATACGATTTCCCCTTTTCTGCCTATAATATTTGAAAACTAGGGGACATACTCTCTTAACTAAGACACCTGAACCAGTTGTCTAAATAACAAGGTAGCTGGGATATCTTACATTGTTTTTACACGTGGAAGGTTGCAAAATATTGAGCATTACAGTTGGAGACTTAAAAAAATACCACTTAGGTAAATAACTTCAGGCTATTTATAATAATGTTTTTTTTCTTGTTGCGCCTTTTAAGAATTTTTGTACATGTACTTGAGTGAGAAAGAGATTACAAGTGAAAAGCTGTGACTTGGAAAATGAGGGGAAAAATATTTCAACCTGTAGGTAATAGTATATCTTGTTCTTGTTTTGTGGTTGTTTTTTTAAAAGATAGCATTCTCAGCTACCCTTTTCCTTGAAGGCACGTTTATATAATTATTATGTTTGTAATAAAGATACGCATAGCAAGCACTTTCAGTGATATATTGAATAGGAGAAAATCATCTTTGCAAGGATATTTGCTTTCCCTGAAACAGCTAAGACTGTGTAAATATTTAACTATAATTATGCTAAAGCGCTATTCTTTTATGCCAGAGTCACTCACAAAATACAATCCTATAAATGCCTTTCTCAAGATTTGTTACATGCTGGCTTTTGGTCTTATGGGAACAAATCTCTCTCACTGCTATTGATCTGTTCTTTAAATTATTCTCCCATGAGGCTCTCAGCTAAGAGCATCTTTTCCTTGAATCTCTTTGTATTTTTAATTGGCTTATGTTTGTTTAAACAAAATCACACCAGTGCCTTAGGCTGCAGCCGTCGACTCATTGCATTCAAAACCAGACACACTGCACTCCAGCAGCCTTCACTTCTGTCCTCTACCGGACTCATCTCTTTGGGGATGAAATCTGTCACAAGATAAAAAAAAAAAGAAAAAAAGAAAAAAAAAAGGCATACAAAATTGCCTTTGGACTGGGTTGCTAGGAACATAGCTGGGATTTGCATAATGCTGTTAAGAGTCCTAAAGATGAAAGGAAGGGTAGATTGTGCCATTTGTCTGCAAGTTCTGGCTGGCGGGCGGTGAGGGGACACTGTCCCAGGAGGAACGCTGGAGAGAAGATGCCTCGGGCAGGACCCAGACCTTCCTTCCCTTGTGGTCCCCCCTGGGTGCGAGGAGAGGCTCTGCACAATCTGCTCTCCCCTCTGCCATGGCACCGAGGGGCTCTCTGCTCTTCACCCGTCCTGCTCCCCCAGGTGAAGTGGGACTGTCAGTGCTGCAGCTTTTCCCTGGACCTCCTTCATCAGCAGATGCTGGAGAGAGTGGTTCCCAAGCTCCCCTCACCGAAGGGAGCCCAGGAACTGCTATTGTGTGCTGCCCTCGCACCGCTGCACAAAGGGGAGAAGGTTCTTATTTCCCCTCTGCCCCTCCTTGGCTGAGCAAAGAGCGTTCAGAGCCAGAACCCAAAATAAGATAGACAGTATGGGTGGTGAAAGCAATAGAGAAAAGCATTTCTTGTCATTCAATTTTATTCTTATGCACTTTGATCCCAGATTATTTTTGAATAGTGTGAAGTGACGCATATTCAAGGATTTTTAAGTTTATCCTCTTCTTTTAACTATTTCCAGTCAATTACCAGCTGCTAAAGCACTTCTCTTCTTCTGTGGCGTAAATACAAGAGGAAGGAAAAAAAATCCTGCTCATATTCTATTATGTTTCAGTTTAATTCAGTATGAAGCCAAGCCTTTACAGGCCATATGGGCACGCTATCTATACAGTCAGGCTTGGGCTGCGTAGCCCACCTCCATGCAACACCACCGCACACAGCATTGCCTTCACATCACACTGTATCTGGAAAGAATTAGTCCCTAAAAGAGCTTGCTCCTGAATGTAAGCCTCTTCCTCTGCCTCATGATCTAGTCCCCTCCCCATGCAGGGTAGGTATTGAAGGCAGGACACCTACTACCACATGTGACTTATCCAGCCTTATATGATCCCTTGAGTGCCCACTCACTTAGCAACTTACAAGCAGATGGACGTACAACTAGAGATAGTAATATCTTTCAAGAAAAATAAGAGGACACCCGGCACCCATTTCTAGATGGTACACACTTCTTGCACTGCAGGCAAGGACCAAATGATCTGTGTTACCTGAGCCAATAACGTTTGTGGTAAAGTTCCAGATCCTCCCTGGTACCAACCTCTTGGTTATCTTCATTCAGCCCAAAGTTAAGAACGCCCAAACTATCCACTCCTGTATCAACTTACCACTAATGTTTGGTTTTGAACTATTCATCTCAAATAGAATCACAGAATCATTGAATTTCCTCGGTTGGAAGGGACCTTTCAGGCCATCTAGTCCAACCATAATAGTTAAGGAATGCAAAGGAATGAGATATATAGTGCTGCTGGACCAGCGAAAGAGACACTACTGGGCTGCATGAGCACCGCACTCTAATTTCCCACCTTGGGATTTACACAAGGTCATCAGCCATTCAATGGACAGTGAACAAGGCAAATGTGAAACCATTACTCATCAAAGCCCATAGTACTAGAAGTGAACAGCATTCAGTGAAACTAACAGATTGACTTATAATAAATAAAGGTACGTACTTCCTTGTGCAGCCAGTGGTGAACTCGTAGAAGCTACTTCTACTGCAGGTTGTAGAAGGAGTTCAAACCGGAACAGCAAAGAAAGAGACAATAAAGCAAACAACAGAAGGTATCCTCTGCAATCCTTAACCCACCAGCTGTGGGTACTGAGGCAGGAAGGGAAGAGTCCACTGCAGAGAGTAACCAGACTCACATGCTCTCCACAAACAGAGTTGCCAGCTGCCGTCTCTGGAGACAGAGCCCTGAGCTACACAGATTGCTGCCCTAACCCTGTAGGGCATTTCATCTGTCCTCATATCAAGGAATCACAGAATGGTTTGGGTTGGAAGGGACCTTAAAGATCACATAGTTCCAATCCCCCCTGCCATGGGCAGGGACACCTTTCACTAGGCTTTCATATAATAGAATCATAGAATCACAGAATGGCTCAGAGTTGGAAGGGACCTTAAAGATCATTGAGTTCCAATCCCCCTGCATGGGCAGGGACATCACCCACTAGACCAGGTTATGCTGGCAAGCAGCAAGTAATATTAATATTTTCCTTGCAATCATGCTGAAAATACTGCGTACTGGAGTTACATGCTATGCGAATGTGAAACTCTGACTAGCCCTGAAAAGCAGGGAGTTTACATTCCAAATCCTGAAACACTGCCATCATCCAAACCATTCAGAGGAAATACTAAAATTTTAGAATGTTTGCAGATCAGTCAGGTTTGCAGGCATGCAGGGATGGTAAAAGTACTTTTCACAAAGCTCACACAGGGTGATGCAAATTCACCATCAAAAGTGAAATTAATTGGAATAGGCTGACAGATGGTTAAGTCTAAGGAAAAAAATTGAATTGTTTTGAGAAGGTTTTTTGCAAGCTATGAGATTTTAATTAAATCACACAAATCAACAATATCCTTGAATAATTACACTCAAAGATACTTCTTTGGTTTTTACGAGCTCAGGTGACACGAAGAATTAATAATTGCACGTTTTCCATTTACTCATTCCAGATTCAAAAGCAGGATAAACAGATCACTAATACTTTTCAATTAACACTACAATGCAGTATAAAACACATTCTATCTCAGAGCCCTAGACATAAAAATATCTGATGCAAAACCCTGCTTATTATTATCTTGATATCAGAATCTTTTGTTATCCTTCTTCATATGCCATCCTCTAAATAAAATCATTCCAAGCATTTGTGCTGACAGTAAAGTTGATAAAACAATCAGTACCAGGTGCCAAAACTTAAAAGTCAAAATTTAACTGAACTCTGCATTAAAGACTTGGAATCTCTTTTCCCAGTGATAGTGGTTCCCAAGATGTAAAAATCACATAAGATATTTGAAAGGAGCAGCCAGGAGGAGACCATTCAATAGTATAATTTACAAAGGAAGTGGCAAATATGACTAATTGAACGTAAAGTTTGAACTCAGGCAAACTTTTGAAACCTACAATTTCAAGTCACTCTACTTCATTACACTGTTTCCAGCATTCCCTGGCTGCAGAACTCTCTGTAAGCTTGGTTATTAATTAAAGTGTGATTTCTTTCTTTAAAGAAAAGTAACTACCCTGGTGATACAAAGGTTAAAAAAATGACTAGTGAAAAAGATTATGAAAAATATTTAGTTTATATATTATTTAGTTTATTTATAGAAAAATATTTTCATCTTAAAAAATATATAGACGGCACTGAAAATGCCTATAGCTCTGAAAAGATTGGACCACTACTATTGCTTCAGTCATATTTTTTCTTATTTATTCACTAAAAGAATGGTTTCTCATACACATATAAACAAAAAAAAATCCAATCCATAAGGGTAAATTTTACATATAGTAATATAAGTGATATATATAGAGAAAAAGTATTTTATAGAACTGTGAGCTCTGGATGTGATTTAGTTAGGCTTAAAAAGCAGTGCTGCTTATCGCTTGATGACTATTGAGCTGGGTGCAGAGAGAGTGACAAGTGGCTGCCCAGGGATATGGCTGCCTCCCAGCCAAGTGACACAGAGGACATGCCACAAGAAGCAGCAGTAATGCAAGGGAAAGGAAAAGGAAGCCCTCTGGTAAACCTGTCACTGACCATTGTCATGTCCTGTGCATGTTCCTCTCCTCTATCCAATTTCCTTCTCTTCTCCAGTTTCCGTTCTTATCTATACTGATGTTTACCCTGGGAATTTCGCTCCGTCAGATCAATGGGAGTTGATGCAGGAGTGCATGTCAATGTGGTGAGAACGTGCCCCAGCATTTTCGGTGGACCTAAAAAGTGAAGGGCTGATTTCATAGGTCGTATTGGAAGTGCAGTGGGCCGACCAACCCAGCTGAGATGTGCTTTAAGCAAAGGAGCTAAATCTTTGAACTTTTTCATGACTATGTGCTTATATTAGGCATTATCTTAAACAACTGACTGAATCAAGACCAGGGTATTTTTAATACACTGAGCTCTAGAGACCACAAAATCTGTCTGAAACAAAGGCAAAAGATTAAGATGTTAAGCTAAGGGATCAGAGCAGCAAATTACTATCACACACTTCACTGTTAGTTCAGCGTCCTCTAATACACACCACGTGTTGCAACTTTTACTCCACTTTCTTTTATGCCACTTTTTGTACTTACTCTTTTACTAGCTTATGCATACATCTTGCATACACTGAGCAGATTTTTGGTGTGATACTTGGCTGTTAAAAGTGCAGCATCACAGAAGATGATTAAAAAAACAACAGCAAACTAATTGCTGGATCATGTTTGCAGCAGTCCTGGACAAGGAGGTTTCCACATATTTAGCCTGCATTAAGATTTTTTTTCCACATCTAATGCATTTTAACTTCAACGTGGGTGGTAGATAAAATTAGACTAACTCCAAATTGAGAGAAAATAAGTATCGCCACAGTAATATGAAAAAGACCACCATTTCAATCAGAATTACATTCAAAAATGAACTGGCATGAAATATGAACAGAAGCTAGACAAAATCCTTGTGGAAAATTTAGGTGTTATAAGCATTGTGAAAATGCTTATGACTAAAGGTACAATCATTTCTGGAGGAAAGGAAATAAATATATGCCCCACTGAAGCCAATGCAAATGAAATCACTACTTCTTGTTTCATATCTCTGTACAGTTGTAAATGCCTTTAATATTTTTCCTCCCAATAAATTATTTTTCTTTCCAGGATCAATAGTTTTTATTTTCCTTGATAAGTATAAGAAAGTTAAGTAGCATCAACCCACAGTACCAAAGTCTTACAGCTACAAATACCATAGACGTGTAGAAAAACAACCTCATAAGTTGTGTTCTTGTGAAAATTATTACCTTGTGAACAAAGGCATCTGTGGAGACCAAGGAATCTGAAATAAACAAAACCAGAGTAAAAAAATAATAACAAAAAATAAAATCATTTGTTAGGGTTGAGTACTGTCCATTCAACATGTATAGCAATTAAGTCTTTCAACTCAAATGAAATTATAGTCTATGGTCATCATCTAGTTTATATTTTCCTAACTCTTGCTTTGAAGTGGTTTCAATTACATACTCTTAATAAAAGCAAGTTTTAAGCACCTTCTTGTTATGTCTGCTGTAAAAGAAAAGCAGATGGAAAATGGAAATTGAATGTTTAAAGATAATTGAATGGGAATATTTGTAGAGAGAGAATTATTTTTTCTTAATGGTTAATTAAGCCTATTGAAAATGCTAAAGAAGTCAAACATCATTCTTGGGTTAATATTTGTGTCTCTGTCTTACTTTTGGGTTTCTAGAGGTCTGATAACTGCATTCAGTCACTAAGAGCAGAATTCCCTAATGATGTTGAAGGATGCTGCCCACTCAGAGGGTTTACAAAAGGAGGCAGCATCATAGAAATTACCTGTGCTTCCTCTGCATGTTATTTGAAGGAGCTCCTCTTTGGTCCAACACAGTTTGCACAGGGATCTGGGGATGCAAGGGCATCCTGTACTTGGGAGGATGCTCTGTGACTGTCATAAAGGGAACAGGTATTTTGGGCAGCAGCGCTTTCCTACACCGTGTGGGTTATGGGTCCTCAGTTACAGATCAACCATAGCTCTGAGGAGCAGTCACAAAATAATCATAGAATCATAGAATGGTTAGATGTGGAAGGGACCTTAAAGATCATCCAGTTCCAACCCCCCTGCCCTGGGCAGGGACACCTCCCACCAGACCAGGTTGCTCCAAGCCCCATCCAGCCTGGCCTTGAACCCCTCCAGGGATGGGGCAGCCATGACCTCCCTGGGCAACCTGTGCAAGTGTCTCACCACCCTCACAGGAAAGAATTTCTTCCTGAGATCTAATCTAAATCTCCCCTCTTCCAGTTTAAAACCACTACCCCTTGTCCTGTCACTACACTTCCTGACAAAGAGTCCCTCTCCGGCTCTCCTGTAGCCCCCTTCAGATATTGAAAGGCTGCTATAAGGTCTCCCTGGAGCCTTCTCTTCTCCAGGCTGAGAAGCAATAATGCAGCAGCTGAGGGAGGAGGTGGGAAAATTTTGGGGGGGAGGCATGTTATGAAAGGAGACAGACGTGCCGAGGGCAGAAGATTTTTGGGTGAACTATAAGGTGGAGAGCAACGATAAGCAATTTGCGGCTTAAGAGTTCATTCAGGAGGAGAAGTAAAAATCTTTAGACAAGCTCAGATAAGAGAATTATGTTCAAGCTGAGGAAGTGAGTTTATTCCAGATGTGTTTGACAGCATGAGAACAGAAGTGGAAGTAGTGCTTTTGGTAAGGAGCCAGTACTGAGGATTAGTCAGGTGGAGAGCACTGAGAAGGGAGTGAGGAGCTGAGAGCACAAGGGTGGGAAGAATTGAAAATACAGGCTCTGGCATCAAGCAAAGGGAATGAAAACAAAGAGGGAAGGAAAGGAATTAGAGAAGCAGAGAAATCAAAGGGAGGTTTAAGAGCAAAGCCAGCTTCGGTAGAGATCACAAGGAAAGAATAAAACTGAGGAGGAAGGGAGAATAAGAGCCACTGAGGGAAGGACACTAGTGGTTATGGGGAGGAAATAAAGGGACTGGAGATAATTTGGGGCTAGATTTCAACAAGTGAAGATGAATCTCTCAGACTTTCCCACGTTATGCCCTGCAGAAAGAGTTTTACGATCACTGTTGATCTGTGCATATATACAGTCAGTTCTGTCAGTCTGTCTGATCTTGGATTCTTTTTTCCTTCCCTTTTCTCTCTCAAACCTACCATCAAAGTACTTTATTTTCATAACAGTGTCATTCTCTTATGTACAGTCTTTCTTGTTCCTACCTTTTAGCATATGGTCAATACACCGTATTGTTTGCATTTTTGCTGCCAGCCTAGTTCTACACAGGCGTCCCTGATGTAGAGGAGCAGCAAGCTCTCTGCCATGGAAAAACTCTGTGATCAGAATTATTTCTTAGGGCGGAGATGGCTGACCTGGGCAATGAAATACATATGTAGTTCGTAAAAGAGGAGGCAGTACGTCATCTGAATACCTTTTTAAAAGGTTGCTTAATTTAGGCAACTCATGTGCCTGCACCCATGTCCATCTTCAAACAGATTACAGAACTGTATTCTAAGCATGTGTCCCTCGATATATAGGCTACAAACATATGTTTAAGTATATTGCACTTCAAGCACATCTAAACTCGAGGCAGCAGTTGCTTTTCCACAGAGAAGTAAACTCCCAGGGCTGAGAGGGAACACTTTTAGTCAGCAGAAAAATGATCGTAATATTGAAATGAGATTCTGGTGTCAGAAGAAGGGATAGTGCACCCTCACCTTGGCATCTGGACACCTTGATGTCTGCACAGAAACATCAAAAACATGGGAGCCTGAATCCCAGGAAGGTGTAAGTCCCAGCGCTCATTGGTTTAGACAGCTGTTGACATGAAAAAATAAAATAGCTTGTGAGCCCTCTGGTGGTATTTATTTTTTTATTTCTCAGATGTTAGCAGAATCCTGCCATAGCAACAACATGTAAATGTCCTTGGATATGTATGCAGTGGAGTGTAAGTACTGCTGTGCATATTTACACACACACACATATATACGTATATGTATACATATAGACACATAAATATAAATATAAAGGATTAATTAATGGCAGAGAGGAGTACCTTCATACATTCTGAGAGTCACTGCCAGAGCAAGGGAAAGAAGAAATCACCTGCCATCATGATCTGAGTATTTATGTGTAAGTGTCCCACTCCCACATGACAGTACTAGCACCATCCATCTGAAAGAGGGAATATGATCATACACTAACAGCACTATTATAAGAAATTCAGAAAGATCTTTGCCTTTCCACATCACAAACTCTATTTGTAATATAGAGCCACCTGTCAAAAGCAAAAGAAGTCACTATTATGATCCCAAGGAACAAAGTGTAAAATTAATTCCTTATCAGGTTCCAAATGGATTTGGCAAATATAAACGCTTAAAAATAAAACAAATTAGAAATATTGTAGAATTTCTCTAGATCAAAGCAAGTACCTGCTTAACTTATTAATAATAACAGTGTTCCAGTTAGGAGCAACAGAGAGTTTCCATTTTCTTTTATAATTGCAAAATTGAAATGTATCAATTTTCCTATATTGAAAAATTTCGTATTATCACCATGCTGCAGACATCCAGATGTTGTAACCTTAAGAATAAGAAACAAAGAAGAACTTAATGAAATGGCTTGTTGTGCTGAAATTGATCTCCAGTGAATGTCAGTTAAGTTAATAAAACTCCACACTTACTACAGTAACTCATAATGAGATTGCCATTATCATCCCTTCACCTAACTTGTGGGGTAAAATTTACATTTAAGGTGTTACTGTTTGACAAAGATAATAACCAAGTTTCATTTTCAGAATATTCTTTGTTGTTATAAGTATTTGGGGATTCCTGGTTTAAATTTAAATGTTGAACCGTAATACTGCAACAATTACTATTGACAGCAGATATAGGAATTCTGCCGTAAGGGAATATTCATAATCCCTCTCCTTTGGATGTATTTAAGTATCATTTATCTTTAGGAGGAGCTTTAAGTGGTATGAGTTTTCAAATTCTATCATATTTTCACCTCATTAAAAAAACCCCAACATATTAATCGAAAAAACAGTTGACTAAAGAGTATAACTAAGTTGTTACACACACGTAGGGTTTGGAGGGATTTTCACCACTGTAGTCTTTCATTTACGGCTTTCATTTGTAGGACCTGGAGTAAAGTGTCATGCTTAAAACTTGACAAATTTCCTTGCCTCTAATCATCCACTTCCTATTGTCCAGTGCAGGTGTTCCACTTTTTGGCACGAAGAAAGTTTGAAATGTCGGTGCCGTGCAGTTCATTTAATGCTCCACTGTGTTTCGTGTCAGCTGGGAGCCAGGAGTGGTGAGTAGTTACACCTCCCCGAAGAGCTCTAGGAAAAAGCAACATCTCATGAGGACACCCCTGAACTTCTGGAGTGCATTGCACTGTGGTGCAGCTGTGCTTTTTTTTTTGTTTCTTTGGATGGGAAGAAAATAAATGCATTCCTGGAATCGCAGTGCCTTTGGAGCTCCCGTTCTGTTCCAGGAGGGAATATTTGGTATCAGACCATCACTAGAGGCAGCCCCCACTTCCCACCCATACTCTACACTGTTGAAGGTGTACCATTGGTCCTGAATACAGTGGATTGTAATTGCAAAATTAATCCAAAGAAATTTTACTATTGAAAGGTGGGATACTGAAATCAACATTTTGGGGTGTCATTTGTAGCCTTTTCAATGTGCCGATCAGCGTCTTTGGGAAATCATTAGTCATTGATATAAAGGTTTCAGTGGATTTTGTTTCACAGTCCTTATTCCCTGTGCACTAATCAATGTATCTACAAAATGAGTTTAATAATATCTAGATTACCTCCCCCAAAAAAGGCTGTGAAGTTTTAAATCACTGTTCTTTCAGAGCACTAAGCCCTTTGTTAGTCAAGCATTAAACAGAAAGGTAAAATGTTACTGCGATCATGACAACTCATACAGGACACATCTATGTTGAGCAATAAAGTTAGAAGAATCTTAGAACAGTAGTGACAGACATGACCTTTGAATTTGAACTTTTGACAGATGATTTCACTGAGCTCATGTCTCCACCACTCTTTGTGCAAGGATAACTCTCTCTGTTTCAGTTTTAAAAAATACACCTATCTTCTCAGCCATAACTCATACCACCTAAATGTTTGAGAATTAAAAATATGTTAGAACTGAAGAATTATACTGAAAGCATTGAGCAGATTTCATCAAAATACTATACAAATAACCAGTGTACTGCATGTGACTTGCTCACTAATGATTTAGAGTTATTTTGGAATACCATTTCTGAAATAAATAGACATGGGCTTAATTTAGTAAAGTAGTCATTTGTCTTCCACAACTCCAAATTGGAAATCAAAACACAATAAAATTTAAAATGGTTATTAAACCCAGATGGATCTTCAAAGGAAAGCAAGAACTATGGTAATGACAGCCTTTAAAGGACGTGGTCAACTTAAAACATTTTCATTTGCTTTATGTTTTTTATCTCTTTTTGTAGCAAGTAACCATTATATTAATTTTATAAGCACAAAATAAATGAGTTTTCCTCACTTTCCCATCATTTTCTTTTTTGTAAATTTCTTAATAGCCATTTTTACTGTTTCTTCTCTACCTAACATAACTTTATTTTATTTTCCTAATTTCAAATTCTGTCTGTTGAGATCCAGTGGGACTTACATAACTAGCTTAATATAAGTACAGAGGAGCTTAATGGGATTTAGGCCCATAATTATTTTGTTTAAAAAAAACCAAAAAATCTTGTAGAAGTTCATAGTTCAAATTTTACCAAATAACTTCATTTCCCCTTCTGTACTTACAGAGCTGCAGCACTATTCTTTACAACAACTTTAAAAGATAAATATGGCAGATATTAATTCCTTCTTGAGATATACAAGATACTTTAATCCACCATTAAGTTCTACCAAAAGCGCTCTCTAATAACTTATTTTTAAGATATAATATAGTTAGGTTTGTTTATTGTGATATTTGTAGTGAGATGCACGTTTCTGGAAGTGTGACATTCGTATGACATCACATTTGAATCCATAACACAAAGTGACAGAAAGCAAACCAGGAACAGTGGCAAGGCTGCACATGGAACAATACAAACAGCTTTTGAAAGCATATACTCTTTCATTTGTGTACATTGCATTCTCAATGGAAATGTTCATGTCTGGAATGGGTTGGTATAAAATCATCCTGACATCCAGAGGTAAGTCCTCCATAGCAAAGGATTTAGCACTACTGAAGGTCAGGTCACCTCCACACACAAAGAAACCATCGAAACCTTCTCTTTGATATCTTAACGTAGGACCCTCTAGGTTTCTCCTGAGTTACAGCACGGGGTGTTTTGTCATTTCAGGAACTGTAGAGGTGCTCGAGATTATCACAAACAGATGGCAACCAGTCAGCCACATCACGTCAGTCTTTCCTGTTCATTTGTTGGGATAGTACTCCAGTAAAGAAGTCACAACTGGCACTTGATAGGAAATGATATATATTATCCTCAAATGAGATTTCAGAAGCCAAAACCGAGAAGCACATAAAGATCAGGCAGATTGAACTTTCCCCCTGCCGCGTCACTCATCAAAATTCCTTCTTTCTTTGTGTACGTACTTATATTGCTAGCAGTAGAGGAACAGATTAGTTACCCAGAACATCCATTTTGATTCCTACCTTGTCTAGCTGAGGAAGTGTCTCAGCCACATGTGGCAGACCACATCCTTTCTCTTATGCTAGCAGGATGACGAAGGAGCACATCTGGATTCAAAATTTCATTTTCACCCTCAACATTTTTGTATTAACACACTGTCATACTTAATATAAATTGGAAAACACTTAGTCCCGTAGCACTTGATTTTCTGGAAGAAGACAAAGCATGACATTGTGGAGTCCATAAACAGCAGGGGGTATAATTCATAGTAAAGCTATATAATATGTTCCATATACATTGCAGCTGTTGATAGATTTTATTACATTTCAGCTAAGGGCCTTATTACATTTGCAGGCAAGATTTATTATATTTGGTTGTATTACTTCTAAAGTTCAGGATATTTTCACATTTGTAGCTGGCTTATTTCATCTATGATCACTGAATTTACATCATAACCTAGTTATAACTGTAGGTTATGAATAATGTCACCTGTTGTTATGACGCTTGCAGTCAGTTCTCATTACAACTGTTCCTAATATTTCACAATATTTTGCAGGTGCTGGATATTACATTGCGGTGTTTAAAGACATATTTTGAAGTCAACGGAACATACGAGAGCAACGTCTGAAGTAAAGGCTTCTACAACACCAAAATGAGGAAGTTGGTCAGCAGCAAAGAGGGTTGGGGGATTCCTGCTTACTCACACGCAGGTTATTTAGCTACATATTTATAAACTGGAGAGTACTTCTCATTTCAAACATTTCACATATAATAATTTAACATAAATAATAGTATCCTATTTTAAAAATAAGCACCACTTTTTTTTCTTTCAATCTTTGTTCCTGGAAGTCAAAAGTTCACCCATAAATCAATGTCCCATGCCTTGGAGTGTTGAAGATGTGTGGTTTCTTTGGAATGATGATGTTGTAGCTGCTTTTTATGCCCATCTTTATTTATCAGTTTCCCACCATTTTTGCCCAATAACATCTAATGACTTCCAGTGCTAAATAAATGCCATGTTATTCTAAAATCCTTTCATCCTGTGTCACAGCTCACTCTCCCTTCTTAAAACAAACCACATCATAAACAAAAGTTATAAATTGACTTATAATTTTTCAAAATTCCACTTCACACCATTAGAAAACATCTAGATTTTTGCAGTATACAATATTC